ATCATTTGAAACCTCACCCTACGCGTTCGGCTTCAAATGAAATTTAGAGACTATCAAATCGGTCTAACCTTCATCTAATTTCAAAACACAGTACGTTTATCTCCTAAGTAAGCACCACCCTATTTTGAAAATATGATGTCATTCTACAGAAAAGTTAGGGTATAGCCATCAATTTTATCAACCAAAAGTTAAAGGAGCTTCATCCATTGACAGTTTTACAGATACCATAACCTTTTCTATTCTTTATGAAAGAATATGCTGATGAAAATATGATGGGACTGAATTTTTACCCAATATTATTATTGTATTGAATAAACACTTCTCCTTGCCAGATACTGATAATTACAGCTAAAATCTGTTTGTTTTTTGTAAAGCAACTTTTACTGCATTTTAAAATTTTACTTGTGTTTAGTTTGAGTGTAACTTTTCCTAAATCTTAGTTTAAAAACTTTCATCCATTCACAATAAATAACGAATTTATATGCCACATAACAATCTATCATTACTTTCACTTTTCAAAATAAGGTAACTTGTTTTAGGACAGAAAGAACACCTGTTTTAAATATATACAATTATCCTAATTAAAGTACATGGTAATTTCAATGATGTTTTCGTTTTTGAAATGTTAAATGCTTGCTCTATCAAATTATAAAGGATATTTTTTGGAAAGTTTAGAAATTTCATTTCAGACAAAATTGATTGGTATAAATACAGGGTGGTGCTTATTTTATGCATAGATGTATATATTTTAGCCAGATGGTGATCGATAAGAACAGAAGTAGAAATTACATATTCTATTGTATTAACCATTTCTTGCAAGTACGAGTAACATGAAGATACTAAATACACATTTTACATCATTTTCGTTCATTCAAATTCTACATTTCCTAATAAATGTCTCCATTCTAAATGGTTTCTCTGTTTGTTTCTTAAAGAAAGGCGTGTCATTATATATGCATTGTGTAAGTGTTCTTCTCTAACTTCTCCTATTAGCGTGAATTTGCTCTAGGGTTCCTGACGAAGGAACCAAGTAATCAACTCGTGTATGTACCAACACCAAAATTTCGAGAAGAGACGAGCAGATGGGATATCTCCCTTGCTAAGGTAATCTCTTGATTCCATCGAAACGACCCTTGCTTGAGTTCCTGCTAAAGTTGGGGGCTTGTTGACAATATATAACACTTTCACACTGAATCATAATCAGAATTGCTTCTTTAGTGGAAACTGGTTCTCGTCACCTCCGCATGGTGCAGCAGCTCTACCTTCCGTGTGACGAAACAACGACCTAAAGCCAGTCTAAGCAAAGAAATCCTATATTATGTGTGCTTAATGTTTCTCGACACGTCGTTGTCCGTATGTTTGTTTATGAATTGTTCTTTTATGAAGACATCTAAATGGGGCTCTACTATATTACTGCTTTTCTAAGATCGAACGCATTTGTTTTCTTAGCCCTTTAAACAAAATTTATCCATAACAAGTTTCCGTACAATGACTAATTTGTCCTTACATGTATGTTTATTATATATCTCCAGTTGTTTTACTTGAATTATTTATGCCCTGTACAGACATACCTATGAGTGAGTGAGTGGGGCACCACAAATGGGCTTCACACATTGTACCCATGTGGGGAATCGAACCTGGGTCTTCGGCAACCAGGGCCTAGATTTTCGAAGCTCTCTTAGCGCTCAGATAGTCGTAAGTGTCATACATTAACATTAACTTACGACTATCTTAGAGCTAAGAGAGCTTCGAAAATCTTTGCCCAGGGCCCCGTTTCACAATGCGATGGTAGCGCTAAGATGATCGTAACTCCCATACTTTAACATAAACTTACGACTGTCGTAGCGCTAAGATGATCGTAACTCTCATACTTTAACATAAACTTACGACTGTCGTAGCGCTAAGATGATCGTAACTCCCATACTTTAACATAGACTTACGACAGTCGTAGCACTAAGATGATCGTAACTCCCATACTTTAACATAGACTTACGACTGTCGTAGCGCTAAGATGATCGTAACTCCCATACTTTAACATAGACTTACGACAGTCGTAGCGCTAAGATGATCGTAACTCCCATACTTTAACATAGACTTACGACTGTCGTAGCGCTAAGATGATCGTAACTCCCATATTTTAACATAAACTTACGACTGTCGTAGCGCTTTGTGGAACAGGGCCCAGACGCTTTAACCACTAGGCTACCTCGCTGCCCACTTACCTATGGAATACTGTAGGGGACGGTTTCGTGTTACTCGCATCCTCTCATGTTTTGCCATGTTCAGCTCATTTCCATGTGTGAAAACGCGAAACATGTCTTATAAATATGCCTGAGATCTTTTTATATCCAGATGAAATATCCTTCAGAAATAATAAAACACTATACTTGCTTGTTACATGACTCAACAGTTCAGCGAGCCTTCATTCCATATGTAAGGAAAGGATAAAATTGAAGATAAAATAGCCGATGCAAAGAAGCTACATGATGATGCTTATCACAAGATTCACTCTTTTGTTACTGTATATGTTGGATTTAGATCAAAGACATGCCTGTATGAGTTATAGAAACCTGAAGTGTGCCTCTCACTATATATTAAGCATCTCTTCTTTTCCCTGAATTACCGCATTTGAGGTTTTTGTTTGCTCCCAGGTTTTACTTTTTGTAAGTAAGACCTCTTCCCAGGTTTTATTTTTTTCCTAACTCTATATGAACATCAACATTCACATGATGTATGAGGGTTTGAAATCAATTGGAAAATATCGTCCAAGATCAATTTCAAAGTGCAAATGTTTTCCAAAGCAGGATTAGAATCGCATCTATCAGATTAATATGCGGATGCTCTGCCTCACGGCCACCGAGCCGACAGAGATTTTGGGGTTGAATTATCTATTTATAGTTACTGTCATTAAATTGATTTTACTTGCGCTTCAGTTATTGTTATGTAGCTTCATTAAATGATTATCTACGCGGTTTTGGTAGAGAATGTTAAACCTTGGGAGAAGGGAAATCCCTCTCGGGCTGTCCTCCCTCGGTTTTACATTCTCTACCAAAACCTCGGGGGCGTGTTTTCTCCTATACATAAACAGCCATCAAAAGAGAGTTTAACATTTTACGCCTTATCAGAATTATTTCAGTGACGAGGCTAACGAAAGTATACACCCTGGTTTTGTGTGGCTGGAAATGAACCGAGTAGGAAATGGCCGTCCGATGGTGATTCCGTTAATACGGTATCATAGGGTTTCTTCAAATCCAATATCCGAATGTGACCTTTCTTTTGTTCGTCAATGTATTTCGTAATGTTGGCTGCCACACAGGGGCTTGTAACGCTAAAAATTATTTTATATAGTACTAAGACCCCGTCAGTGACAGTGTATACCTTGATGGCAGTTTTCAGCGTTGCTAGCCCCTGTGGGCTGCCATGACTGGTAATTCTAACAGTTACACCCACAAACAAAGGACCAGCAGAGTACACATAACCACGTACCCAAGTTAATTACGTATATACCAAAGCCCTTTCTCAGTTATTTCTGTGTTGGATATGTCATATACAGATCTTGTTTGAAGTCTCCATATTTTGGCACCATATAACCTGTCAAATTGCTATCCTACTATCAATGTTTTGGTTTATATATGCATTATATAATTTGTAGAATGGTAGTTATATATTCGAGCTGAGTACAGAGTCTTAAAGCAAAATGGAAGCATTACGAAATGGCTCAGAAGGATACCCTTCAACTGCCATCAGTGAATGGGGACAGACATCTTTAGATTTGTATTTGTCCTCACCACAGTAGCCACGGACTAGCGGACCAGCATGAATTTCTCGTTATTTCCATCTTTTTTTATATCCAGATAGTATCGAAAGGAGAACGCATTTTCAAAGCATTCCTAAATTGTTATCAGCGAAAGAATAATTTATTATTTAATCAAGAATTTGCCCATAAAACGTTTGTCCAATAAAAACATGTATGCCAATCCAAAAAGAAAAAGGTGGGCACATTTGGGCTTAGATAACCGCTAAAGGCTTCCGACAAATAAGAAATGGTTGAACGCTTGGTGAAGAATCCTCTAACGTTCTGAGCAGGAGAGTGTGTCTTGATTATTTCGAATCATTTTAATTTGTATTTCTTTTTGTGGTTTATTTTACTGCAGGTCCAACAAGACATCAGTGAGCCAAGTCACAAAACGCGCTCCTGAATCCTCCATTGAGTTCTTCCTTGATGTTCCTTTGGACAGACTTTCGGCACAAAAATAAACAAAATACAGCAAACGAGAAGGAACAGAAAGCAAAGAAACGAAACAAAATACCTGGATATATAAACCAATCCAAAACGAAAAAGGTGGACACCATTGGGGTTAGATAAACGCTAAAGGCTACCCATAAATATGCCATGGTTCAAACATTTTTTGAAGAATCCCTCTAACGTTCAGATCAGAAATGTGTGTATTATTTATTTCGAATAATTTGTATTTATTTTAGTGGCTTATTTTACAACTGCAAGTCAAACGAAGACACCTGTGAGCCAAGTCACAAAACGCACTCCTCAATCCTCAATCCTCCAACACTGTGGAGCACAGTGGTGTAGTGGTTAGCATGCTGGCCTCTCACGCTAAAGGCCCGGGTTCGAATACCGGTGGAGACACCAAAATTTGTGACCTGGGTCTCATACTGTGTTGTGTCCCTGGGCAAGGCACTTCGTCCACATTGCACTCAGTCCACCCAGCTGTTTAAAATAGGTACCTGAAAAGCGGATGTACGGACTTATACGGTAGCCGTTAGCGCTTAGTAGCAGCTTTTAAAGTACAATTCCGTCAGGGTAATAATGTAACGCCAGAGAACAGCATCGCGTTGGAGTCTAGGCGCAATAATTAGCATTATTATTATTAATTCACCATGCGGTTCTTCCATGATGTTCCATCAGGCAGACTTTCGGCACAAAAAATAAACAAAGTACAGCAAAAGGAAAGAACAGAAAGCAAAGAAACGAAACTAAATACCTGGATAACGTCCTTGGTGCATATCAGACTGGGTAAATGAACAAAACTGCAGCAGAAAAATCAAGAAATGTAGAGAATCGTGAAGGCACGTCTGATCGCTCTGAAGACAATCAGCAAAGATGGCATTCGTTGCTTAGCGACGACTCGTAAACAATATAAATTTAGGGCCAGTTTTACAAACAATGCTTGCTTTAGAATCTCTAATTATCTCTAGCGACTTCTGCACGGCGTTTGGAGGTCTTGTAGAATATAACCGTTTACAAGAATGAAATCCCGTTTGATCGCGTACACTATGACGTCATTAGGTTTGTGACGTCATATGGTGTGTGCAACACGGATTAAGCTGGGGCTCGTCTCGCATATAATATACGTTAGCGCGCGCAAAGGGAGCTGGGAACCAGCTTACAACACGGATAAGCTCACACACCGGCGCAGCGATGACTTAGCGTAACAGCACGTGGAACCTCAAAACCTATGTAAACAAAAGATCGCTACGCAAATCGAAATATTTAGTGTTACACGTTTCAGAATATTTTCTCAGTGAAACCTAACCATTCTATCAAAGATGTTTAATAAGATGTGTAGACTCGTCAAAAATAATAGCGTTAAGAAATTGATACAATATATTGAATGAGCTGTTACGTCAAGATGTGACGAATCGCATATAATGGAGTTCAGCTGGGAACCAGCTTTACAACACGGAGAGCTCACACACCGGCGCAGCGATGAGCGTAACAGCACGTGGACGCAAAACCTATGTAAACAAAAAGATCGCTACATCGAAATATTTAGGCAGAAATTTTCTCAGGAAACCAACCATTCTAACCGATGTTTAATTGTTTTCGTCAAAATAATATATAGCGAGTCGGAATTTATGACGAATCGCATGAGTTCAGGGTACGAGATTGGGATTGACACCAGGCAATAATAAAGTGTTTTCCGAGTATTTATGACGTCTGGTTCGCCTTGAAACCAAATAATAAATATTCTGTCTGTCGGACTAGAAACCAAAATAATAATAAGTGATTGAAATGGGGAAAGTCGGTATCCTCCCATTTGTCAGACATCCCAATAGTCAGACAGGTTAAAACAACAAACCATCTGGTTGAGTGAACAGCTAAGCTCCTGCCTGTTACCTCTTAAAGAAATAGGAATGGCCCATAAAATAAATAACAGAACAGAACAGAACTTTATTACACTCAGGCCGGTATCATCGGCATATGACGTACAAATGATAATAATGATAATAGCATGGTAGTAGCATAATATACTGATGTGCAAAAGAAAGTACACACTTGGTGCTTTGAGACTATCAAAACAACGTAAATAGTTTGCTAGCAATGTTCCAATTGGGTACGATCTATGGTGTTATTGCAACACGTACACAATGTTTGTGACGTGTGAGTCGCAATCAAAACACTTTTCTAAATATTACGCTGTTTTCAGGAAAATATTGTACCAACGCATCAGGTGTGTACTTTCTTTTGAACGTCAGCTTTTAGTAGTTAGCCGGAAGATTTTACAATTTGCATGGTATATTTACAGAATTTACTGAGATTTTTCATAACAGATACCTATTTATATGTAAAGTGTGATTTACATTTTAACATAGTTAGAGAATATGTTTGACCGTTTTGGGAAGTTTACACCTCTGAGTTCCAGATTTGAATTGAATGAGCTGTATGTTTTTAATAACCGTACGATACCAAAATGCATATTTACATATACTTTTGCATTATGTGAAATGACTGGTTAAATTGACACACAACTATTTATATATTAGGTTAAAGAATAGTTCATTATATCCTTAAACTCTTCACGTTATAACAGTTAATAACATGTACATATAACAGTGCAAACAATCTGGATCCAAACAAACATCGATGTAAAATAGATAAATATCCCTGAAATCGACGATCCGACAATAATGTTTTGGAAAATGGAGAAGCCTTAGTATACAACATACTGGATGGATGTACATAACTGTAGAACAAGAATAAAATACGTCTGGTAATAAGATAATTGGTCCATTAACTGTTCAGTGTTGAAAATACGCCATCAACATGCGTCATGATCAGTATAAGGCTTTCGAACCTTGCCGTGTTAATATGGCATAGATGTGGGGAGGACACGCTGCAAACGTAAAAAGTACAATTTGTGTAATTCTCGATCATTTCAATTAAAGAATTGCACCTGTTGTTCAATTTGTCGACCATCAGGCAGGTAACAAGTACAATGTTTTGACGTTTTTTGATATGCCGCATGGCGTTTGACGTATGCGTGCCAACAAAGTTCAGATTTAATAAGGAAAAAAAACTGTCGTTCGCAGGGCTTATGGTGAACTGAATTCTTCCAGCAATTCCTCCGCCCATTGTATACTGTTAGCAGAATGAGCCCAGATGGTCAAAGTGAAGTATTACATTGATCATTACGCTGGCTTCTGGTTGAGGCGAGGATAGTGTTTAAAGTACGCTGTATCCCATTCAAGAGTCTAAAAGGCATGTCACCAGAATATCTAAGTGAACTGCTAACCCCCAACAAACCATCCAGACAACTGCGATCTGAAAGCAGATTCTTTTTGAAAACTCCTTCTTATAGACTGGCCTTTTATGGAAAGCGTTCTTTCGGTGTTTGTGCTCCATCGCAGTGGAATGAACTGCCTCTCGCCTTAAAACTGTCCCCATCTTTTGCTGCGTTCAAATCACATCTTAAAACGCATCTCTTTTCACTGCACTATTAACTCTATTCAAACATTATTATTATTTTGTAGCGCTTTGAGCACCCACTTAGTGGTTGGATTTAGCGCTATATACATTTCCAGTATTATTATTATTATTATTATTATCGCAGAATGAACCGAGACAGTTATTTTATTGACTGCGGAATGATCCGAGACAGTTCGAGTAACCTATTACATGGATTGCGGAATGAGCCGAGGTGGTCCGAGTGAAGGACTACATGGATTGCGGAATGAGCCGAGGTGGTCCGAGTGAAGGACTACATGGCTTGCGGAATGAGCCGAGGAGGTCCGAGTGAAGGACCACAGGGTTTGCAGAATGAGCCGAGATGGTCCGAGTGAAGGACCACAGGGTTTGCAGAATGAGCCGAGAAGGTCCGAGTGAAGGACCACATGGTTTGCAGAATGAGCCGAGATGGTCCGAGTGAAGGACCACAGGGTTTGCAGAATGAGCCGAGATGGTCCGAGTGAAGGACCACAGGGTTTGCAATCATAGCCGAGATGGTCCGAGTGAAGGACTACATGGATTGAGGAATGAGCCGAGGTTGTCCGAGTGAAGGACCACAGGGTTTGCAGAATGAGCCGAGATGGTCCGAGTGAAGGACCACAGGGTTTGCAGAATGAGCCGAGATGGTCCGAGTGAAGGACCACAGGGTTTGCAGAATGAGCCGAGATGGTCCGAGTGAAGGACCACAGGGTTTGCGGAATGAGCCGAGATGGTCCGAGTGAAGGACCACATGGTTTGCAGAATGAGCCGAGATGGTCCGAGTGAAAGACCACAGGGTTTGCAGAATGAGCCGAGATGGTCCGAGTGAAGGACCACAGGGTTTGCAATCATAGCCGAGATGGTCCGAGTGAAGGACTACATGGATTGAGGAATGAGCCGAGGTGGTCCGAGTGAAGGACCACAGGGTTTGCAGAATGAGCCGAGATGGTCCGAGTGAAGGACCACAGGGTTTGCAGAATGAGCCGAGATGGTCCGAGTGAAGGACCACAGGGTTTGCAGAATGAGCCGAGATGGTCCGAGTGAAGGACCACAGGGTTTGCAGAATGAGCCGAGATGGTCCGAGTGAAGGACCACATGGTTTGCAGAATGAGCCGGGATGGTCCGAGTGAAGGACCAAAGGGTTTGCAGAATGAGCCGAGATGGTCCAAGTGAAGGACCACAGGGTTTGCAGAATGAGCCGAGATGGTCCGAGTGAAGGACCACATGTTTTGCAGAATGAGCCAAGGTGGTCCGAGTGAAGGACCACATGGTTTGCAGAATGAGCCAAGATGGCTCAAGCTGATCAATAATCATCAATACACGCTCGAGGCAATTGTTAGTTTTAGTCTGAAATGTTGCCTCCGACTACATATAATGATATAGAAATAACACGCATGATCTTCTGTCACTGTGCTGTGCGTCAGTTGCATGCTTTTATGACGTAGTGTATAACCCGATCAGTATCGTGGGAATTTTTTAAAATTTTCAATATATCTCAGTAGCAACATTTGAAATCGTGTCTGAAATGTTAGACGTAACACAATACCTACTACTTAAGACACACTTCATTTGAAAGGAATACCAGTCCATATTCTGCAACCTGCTCACATCAGACCGAGAATGCCAGTGATTTGTACAGAAAGATGGGGGAGGTGTCCCAGTTACCTAACGTCCCAACAACTTATGCAGAGTTGTGTCCCTTATCTGACCGTTCGTCCCTGTCCGAGATTTGAGAATTTTATTCAAGTGTTAAAAGACCATGACCAAAGAATGAAACTGTTCAGGGGGAATTGAACTTTCAATGATGTTTTAGTTTTTAAATACAGATTTACTAAACAGTCTTACGACAGTTTCCAATCTTTTGCGGTCTCTTTTCATAAAGTCTCGCAACACAGCTTTAGTCTTGCCATATCGTGTTAGTCTTGTTAATCAAATTCGTAGTTTTTCTATTCTATCACAATTTCCTTCATTTCAGTCAGTAAATAAATTATACGATCTTTCCATATATATTCGCGCTATGCACTCTCTCGACATTAGTACCGTGCAGACTTAGTCCTGCTACACACTCCAGCAAGACATTCTCGATAAACATCTTTTGCATAAGCCTTTGCAATACAGTCTTTCTTGTTGTGCTTTACAATCTCGCAGTGCCGTTGTTCCATACAGTCTAAGTCTCTATATAATATACCTTGATACACAATTTTGCAATTTTGTTATGCAGCTGTTTTAAGCATTCTTGAAACCCATGAACACGGATAAAGTGCCGCACAGAGGCTTAACGAGTACTAATCTATGATTCAAACCATCGATCACAGGATCCTTACACGTCTAGGGGACGCAAC